CCCACACCCACACCCACACCCACCCCAAATATCAGCTTATGATGCTTCTGAATTAGTTAAACTTTATAAAACTCGTGGAGAAGATATATTTATTGAAAAACTTCGTAATTTATGGAACTATCGTCGAGCATCTTTCTCTTTAGCGCCTAAATATTCTTCAAATGGTAAAAGAAATTTATTTGAACATTAGTTTGGTAATTATTTATTGTCTGAATGTTTAACTGATATTGTTATACCAGTTGTAAGGAGTGGTGATATTTGTACTCATTTACAAGTAATGATAGTTTATATTCAACAAGTTTAGTAGATGTTCTAATGGCAACAACTCCTGCACCTACTTATTTTAAACCACATATATTGAATGGTACGAATTATATTGATGGCGGTGTACAAATGAATAATCCAACAGTGCCTGCATATAGAAAAGCTCTTCAATACGGCTATAACAAAGAAAATATATTTGTATTATCATTGGGCACAGGTGATTATATAGAAGATCCATTGGTGGCTAACGAACACCCAAATATTATATATTATGTAAGGAATTACAGTACTGTAGCTAAAGTTTTACTTGGTAGTCAACAACATAATGTGGATAATGACATGAGCATTTTTATGAATGATGAACATTATTATCGATGGCAAGTATGGTTTGAAGAATCTATTAGATTAGATCAATATGAAACACATATAGTGAATATATTAGAAAATATTGGATATGAATATTGGGAAGAAATGGAAATTTATGATAATAATAGATTAAACAAATTAATTAAACATTTAACATTGGAATAAAAGCTTGTTAGCGCAGCTCCTGCGGAGCTGAAATGTGGAACTCACGTATACCTTTAGCTTTGTTACCTGACGCATCATCTGTATACTGAAAGACTTCTCATCAACTATAGTTGTTTTCCTTGAGAATCGATGAAAAGAGCAGGAATTTATTATTTATTTGTATATTAAAAAAATATATTAAAAAAGAAAATATTTTTTTTTCATTTAAGCGCGCTCGATTTCATTTATAATTATTGCTATATACTCGATAATAATCTTTTTTTTTTGTTTTCTAATTTCAAGTTATTTTTCTCCACCATCGACTATTTGGTGAATACGGTTGTCGCAGTCTGTAATGGGGCGGGGTATATGTATGTAATGTTCTTTTTTGGTTGCTATGATCTGTAAGCGGGGGGGGGGGGGGG